TCGATTCCCAGCATCCCATATGGTCCCCCAAGCACCGCCAGGAGTGATTCCTGAGTGCATGAGTAACCCACAGGTATGACCCCCCAAAAAAAAGAAAGTAAAAAAAAAAGATTTAAAGTAGCTTTCTTAGCGGTAGGGTGTTTGCCTTGAGTGCAGCCAGCTGGGCTGAGCCGGGTTTGATTCCTCTGCCCCTCTTGGAGAGCCTGGCAAGCTACCGAGAGTATCTCGCCCGCACGGCAAAACCTAGCAAGCTACCTGTGACATATTCAATATGCCAAACACAGTAACAAGAAGTCTCACAATGGAGACGTTACTGGGCCCGCTCGAGCAAATCGATGAACAACGAGAGGACAGTGCTTGTTTGTTTGTCTTAAAAACTGGGTACCTAGTCTATACTCCTCATTGAAGCCTTAAGTCAAAGCTGTTCTGGCAAAGTGTGTATTCCCTAGGTTAAACCTTTTCATTCTTTGTCCTGGATTGAATCGTGTCTCATTCCTGCCTCTCATAGGTGAACTCTTAGCGAGGGGATGATGAGGCTCACTCAACAAGCACTTGCTTTGTCTGCATCTCCCGGCCATGGCACCCTTCAAAAAAAAAAAGCAACTTCCTGGTGTCCAATAGTATGAAGGTGCATTATTGGAATATAGGGTCTTTGCAGAGATGGTAAGATGAAGTCATTAGAATGCATCCTAAGGCAGCAATGCAACAGGAATCTGAGTTCATTCTAAGGTATTTAGTATTTAACCGCCATTCATTCTAAGGTATCAGAAACAAAAGTTGCAAGCACCAAAAAGAGACGCTGGACAGCAGGTAGGGCGTTTGCCTTGCACGCGGCCGACCTGGGTTCCTTTCCCAGCATCCCATATGGTCCCCTGAGCACCGCCAGGAGTAACTTCTGAGTGCAGAGCCAGGAGTAATCCCTGAGCATGACTGGGTGTGACTCAAAAACATAAAAAAAGAAACATTATGGCAAAGAACAAAAGAACATGAGAAATAGGAGGTGGAAAGAATAGCGATTACCTTTTTAAAGGATAAAGTAAAGTAAAGTAAAGGCCCTCCCGTTGATCATCGATTTGCTCGAGCAGGCCCAGTAACTCTCCATTGGAGACTTTGTTGTTACTGTGTCTGGCATATCGAAGGATAATCTCAGAGAAATCGAAGACGGAGGAGGTGGCTGGGGCAAAGTGTTAAGTGGACTGAATTAGGAGAAATAAGCAAATGTGAGAAGCTGAAAATGAGAAAGGGGAAAATGAATTCTAGAAAAGCTGCAGACTGAGTTGTATTCCCCCATCCCATGGATCTCAAGACTATGAGCGGGGAATTTAATTAAAAACAAACAAACAAACAAAAAACCCTTGTCTAAGTGGTCATTCCAGCAAGATTCAGTGGAGGACCAGATTACAGGTAGCCTGGCCTCAGCAAGGCTGCGAGCAACTGTCATCAGAGGGAGCACTGGGTCGTGGCTAAGGACTCCGGAGTCAGATGTCTTGTTCTATCTATGACTCTTTTTCTGCTTTGCACCGACAGGCTAATGATCCTACCAACGCACCACTTTCTCCTTTCAGTGTGGACTGTGCTTGAAAGGACCAGCGGGGTCAGCAGAAAGGAATGAGGCTGCATTTTAGGAAGGGAACTTCAGAGGTCAGCTATAAAACAACAAGTTATATGTCATCTCCACTGGTTTAAACAAAAACAAAAAATATCTTTTCTGTGGCTCATGGCTCCTGAAACTTTTTTTTCTTTTGGTGTAGCTCTGCCCCCGCGCCTGGCTGTCCTCACCCGGGCCCCTTGGAGGGGGAGGGTTGAGTTTCTCTCCCCGCCCCCCACCCCGAGCAGAGCCCCAGCAGCTGAGGACCTCCGGAGCCAGCCACGGCCATGCTGGACCACTCTCCACACTTCCGGATGGGCCTCATGCATGAAAGAACGGGCAGAGGAACCCAGGCATGTGGGTCCCGGGGCTGAGGTCTCCAAGCCTACTGGGATTGGGACTGGGCCTTCTCCACCCAGAACCCCCATCTTCCAGTAAGTAGGCGTCACACCCACCAGCTGCCGACAGCGCCGGGTGGATCCCATCAATGGCCAAGACTCAGAGACTATAAAACCCAGCTCCCAGAAGCACGCGGCTGCATTTGCGGCTTCGCAACATCTTATTATCTTTCCTTTGGAGAACATGGCAGGCTACAAAAAGTATCCTGTCCGCACGGCAGAGTCTGGCAAACTTCCCGTGTCGTACTCAATATGCCAAATACCAGTAACAATGATGGGTCTCATCCTCCTAATCCTGAAAGAGCATTGAAATGGCTCTTTTAAAATCTCAGGGCTAGGTAGAAGGAGACGTTACTGGTGCCTGCTCGAGGCAATCGATGAACAACAGGATGATCGTGATCGTGATAGCTCTGCAATGCTCAGGGGTTACTCCTGGCTCTGCGCTCAGGGATCACTCCTAGCAGTGCTCAGGGGACCATATGGAATGCTGGGGGTGGGGACCAAAGTCAGGTGGGCTGCGGGCAAGACACACAATGCCCTGTACTAACTCTTCACACCCCCCATCCCCAAATACACCTTGGCAGAGCACCCCCACAACTTCCCCTGCCTGAGTTGCCTTGGCAGGCTTCACCCAGACCTTCCCTAGCTAGGCTGTGGGCACTACCAAGGTGCCCAGGCTTCCTCCATTGAACCTCCCCGCTGGGGACCCTGACTTCTGCACCCCTTCTCCCCCCACCCGCCGCACCTTGCACCTCCTTCTGGTCTTACTTTAAAAGTACTGCCTCTCAGGTCTGGAGCAATAGCACAACGGGTAGGGCATTTGCCTTGCACACGGCCGACCCAGGTTCGATTCCCAGCATCCCATATGGTCCCCCGAGCACCGCCAGATCGCCAGGAGTGAATCCTGAGTGCAAAGCCAGGAGTAACTCCTGAGCATTGCCAGGTGTGACCCAAAAAGAAAAAAAAAAAAAGTACTGCCTCTGAGCTGAAGAGATAGCAAAGCAGGTAGGGTGCTTGCCTTGCAAGTGGCTTACCTGGGTTCGATTCCCAGGAGTAACCCCTGTGCATCGCGGAGTGTGACCCCAAAAGCAAGAGTACTACTGCCTCTCCCGCCTCTCTGCCAGATGCTCAATTTAAGAGTGGCCATGAGGGACTATATATTATCTTCCCCCGCATCTACACAACAGCTGCCACTGGTGGTGCAGGGAATTTCGGTCTATTAATAAATGGGGATCTGCCATTTATGACCCAGCCCGGGCAGCCGAAAACCTCCATAACTCAACTGCTGCCATGCTCACCACCGTTCTCCACACGCTCGGATGAGCCTCACCCACGAGTGGGAATCCCATCCTTTACACCACCAATATACCAAGAGTAGCACACCACATTTGTTGGGGTTTAAAGTGGTTTAAAGTAGAAGGCAACCAATCTTAGGGGGAAATATATATATATATATATATATATATATATTTCACCAAAACTCTTCAGTGCCACCCTCGAGAACATCATGAGATGACTGGAATGGGAAAGCATGGGAGTGAAGATAGATGGTCGGCAACTACACCACCTCCGCTTTGCTGATGACATTCTTTTAATAACACCAAACATCAGCCAAGCGGCACAAATGCTGGCCGACTTTGACCGTGAATGTGGAAAGGTCGGACTACAGCTGAATCTTACGAAGACAATGTTTATGAGAAACAGCCTCGTTCCTGACGCCCCATTCGCTCTCAACGGAACGACCATCTCCGAATGCAACAGCTATGTGTACCTAGGTCAAGAGGTCAACATGACAAATGACCTGGCACCTGAGTTGCGCAGGAGGAAGAGAGCGGCTTGGAATGCCTTCAAGAGCGTTGAAGAAATAACTAAAAGGACAAAGAACCTCCAGCTACGAGCTCATCTCTTTAATTCCACTGTTCTTCCTGCATTAACATATGCCTCAGAGACCTGGACCCTACGAAAACAGGATGAGAACGCTATTCGGGTCTCTCAAAGAGGAATCGAAAGAGCTATGCTTGGAATATCACGATTCACTCAAATGAGAGATAGAATCCGTAGTTCTGATCTTCGTCAACGCTCAAGAATCAGGGACGCTGTCTCATTTGCCAAGACATCAAAAATCAGATGGGCTGGACACGTAATGAGGTTTACAGACAACCGCTGGACTAAAGCCATTACTGATTGGATTCCACGGGACATCAAAAGATCACGTGGACGCCCACCTACAAGATGGTCAGACTTCTTCGTCAAGACCCTGAACGATCGGTTTGAGGTTCTGCATGTTCCCAGAACGAACAGATACCATTGGGCTACGCTAGCACGCAACCGGGATGAATGGAGACGTTACTGGCACCCGCTCGAGTAAATCGATGAATAACGGGGTTTAAGTGATTAAGTGATATATATATATATATATATATATATATAAGCACACAAGGCTCAACCTTTAACAACGTGTTACTAATCTTTTATAGAAGAGTGTAACGGCTCCTGGGTGAAATTCAACCATTTTCACACACTTTCTTCTAAGCAATCCTTTCTGTCTCATTTTCAGCCGATTACTCATAAGAAGCAATACAAAATAAATTATTTCGGTTCTGCTTGAGCGGCAGGGTTTGGGCTGTGGGATTGGAAATATGGTGGTGGGAAGGTATAATGATGGTGGGAGTGGCGTTCGAACAAGTAAATGTAATCAAATATTGTGAACAAGTTTATAAAAAAAATAACAAATTAAATAAATAAATAAATAAAAACAAGAAGTTGCTATTAAAAAAAAAAAAAAAAGAAATGAGGAAGGGGTCCGCATCAACCCCCCTGAGCCAGGGTATCAGGCGGCCCTCGTCCTCCCGGAGCTCCGGCCCCGCCCCACTTCGCCCCGCCCCTCCGAGGTCACGTGGGCGAGGCCCGGCCCGGCCCGCGGTCACGTGGCCCCGCCCCCGCCCCCGGCGCGCAGCTGGAGGCGCGTCCCCGGCGGCGCCCGGCGCGGTGCATTGTGGGCAGAGGGGCGGGGGTTGGGAAGATGGCGGCTCCCAGCCTCCTCAACTGGAGGCGGGTTTCCTCCTTCACGGGGCCGGTGCCCCGCGCCCGGCACGGACACCGCGCCGTGGCCATCCGGGAGCTGATGATCATCTTCGGCGGCGGCAACGAGGGCATCGCGGACGAGCTGCACGTCTACAACACGGGTAGGCGGCGGCGCGGCGCGGCGGCGGGAGCGCGGCGGGGGGAGGGGAGCGCGGCGGCGGCGGCGGCGGCGGCGGTGGCGGCGGCGGCGGCCGCGGCCCTGACAGCTGTCACCGGCGGCTCCGCGCCCTGCCCCGCCCGCGCGCCGCGGACGGCCGCCCCCGGGGCCTCGCCCACCCCGCGCGCCCCTCTCCGCGCGGCCGCGGCGCCCGCCGGCCCCCGCCGGCCGCCGCGGCCCGGCCCCCACCCCGCCCGGCGCCGAGGCCGGAGGCAAGCGGGCAGCCGCCGACCGGGGACCGCCGCCCGGACTCGCGCCGCCGCCCCTGCGCGGGCCCCCGAGCCCCGCGCCCCCTGCCCGCCCCTGCCCGCCGGCCGCGGGGCTGCGGGGCTGCGGGGCTGCGGGAGCCGGGGCGGGGTAGGGCCGGGACCGCGGGCTCCCGCGCTGCACGCAGCAGGCTCCCGGCGGTGTGATTGAAGGCGACTTGGGGTGTGTGTGTGTTGCTTGCACGGGGTGATTGAAGGCGACCTGATGTGTGTGTGTGTGTGTGTGTGTGTGTGTTTTGCATGTACGCTCCCGGCGGGGTGATTGATGGCGACTTGGGGTGTGTGTTTCTGCGTTTGTGTGTGTGTGCTGCACGCAGGCTCCCAGCGGTGTGATTGAAAGCGACTTGGGGTGTGTGTGTCTGCGCGTGTGTGTGTGTGCGCTGCACGCAGGCTCCCGGCGGTGTGATTGAAGGCGATTTGGTTTGCCCCCCAGTGTCACCAGCTGAGACGGCTTGGATTTGGGGTGTGTGTTTTGTGTGTGTGTGTGTGTGTGTGTGTGCGCGCGCTGCACGCACTTTCGCTCCAGGCGGGGTGATTGAAGGCGACTTGAGGGGTGTGTGTCTGCCCCGCGCTGCACGCACGCTCCCGGCGGGGGTGATTTAAGGCGACTTGTGTGTGTGTTTGTGTGTGTGTGTGTGTCTGCGTGAGTGTGCGGGGCCCGTGCCCCGCGCGGCACGCTCACAAAAGCGCCTCTGTCAGCCGGTGCCCGGCCGCCGCCACCAGCAGGGAAGGGCTCCTCCCTGGAATGGGTGGGAGGCTGGAATGTCAGCTATACCCCCACCCCCAACGGGGAACGGGCGGACCCTTCCCAGGAAGCCAGTCTCCTTCGGGGCCCAGGCTCCTGGCGGGATCTTGGGTCCAAGGCATGGTCAGTTGACTTGTCTCTTTTTGAACCCCAACAAAACACGGACTGGGCGGGTGAGTCGAAGGGTGTGCACTTCATGCAAAACAAGTGAGTCTGAAGTAGAGGGAGGAAGGGGCTGGAGAGAAAGTACCGCGGGGTGGGGGTACTGGGGGGCACGTGCCTTGCAACGGTATTCGACCCTCTGGCACCCAGTATGGTCCCTCTCCTTCCCACACACCAAATCCTGGGAGAGATGCCTGAGCAGAGTCAGGACTTAAGCCCTGAGCACCACTGGGTGTGGCCCCAAAACCAAACTATGAAATAAAGTAGTGGAGGAAGGGGAATTTTTTTTCCCCTCCCCTTCTCCACCCCCTGGCATTCCCCACTTAGAAAGTGAAGAAGTTTGTTTTGTTTTTTTTAGGTTTGTTTTTTGAGGGCCAAAGGAGATTCAGCAGACTAGAGCGGTCCTCCAGCTCCAGATGTGCTCAATCCTCCACAACAGCCAAAAAGATTTTTTGAGAATTGGGGGTGGTGTAAAAATTACCCTTAACTTTGAAATTACTTGGAACCAGCTTGGATTGGGCATTAACTGTTGTTTTGGGTTCAGATGTAAAGTTATTAAACCTTTCTAAGCTATTGGGTTGGTAAAGATGGAGCGAGGACACTCAGCAGGGGAGAATCTCTTAGGGACTGAATGATACAGATCCGGGTTTTTCAGCCGCTGAGTCTTTGCTGGGAGGTGTTTTGGCGCCCAGGCTGGCTGTAGCATCCCTGTGTCCAATTAGGACAGAGGAGAATGTTTGGTTTGCCCACCCCCCCCCCCCCAGTGTCACCAGCTGAGAGCCGCTGAGACAGACGATACACATCAGTGCTCTTGCTCAGAGCCTGTGGTATCCTCAGAGCCTGTGGTATCCGTTTAATGTCTGGTTTAATTTTTGTTTTTATTTTGGCCACTAGTCACAAATCAGTGGTTCCTCCCCGCTGTTAGAGGAGACATCCCTCCTGGCTGTGCGGCCCATGGATTTGTCTGTGATGGTACCAGAATATTGGTATTTGGGGGAATGGTCGAATATGGACGCTACAGCAACGAGCTCTATGAATTACAGGTAAGTGACTGCAACTTTATCCTCACCCTGATGTTTGACCAATGGTAAAATTTCTCACTCTTGGTAAGATCTGCAGAGACAGCTCATTTTGTCGCTTCAACTACGGTTTAAATGCTTCCACTTCTGGGGCCGGAGTCATAGCACAGTGGGGAGGGCACTTGCCTCGTGCGTGACCAACCTGGGTTCAATCCCCAGCACACTCTATGATCTCTAAACCCCACCTGGAGTGATTCCTGAGCGCAGAGCTAGGAGAGAGCCCTGAGCACCACACACCACATGGTGTGACCAAAAAATTCAAAATTAAACTAAAATGAATGTTTCCACGTAGGTGGAAGTTCTCTAGTGGAAGTCCTCTTCTCCGAAAGCAGCATTTGTAACATTGAGACACCAAAAACTTAACATTCACTGTGCTGGCTACTTGTTTGGGCTTTTGTATTTCACAGCCTAGCTTCTTAAACTGTGAGCCAACGCCCCATCAGGGTTCCACATATTTTTAGAAATACATTTCAAAAGAATTTTTATGATTTATTATCAGTAAATTTTTTTTTTTTGTAGGAGTACTGCTATTTGTTCAGCCACTGTTTGGCTGATTGAATTGTGCATGAACTCCACCTTACTTCTTCTTTTTCATTTTTTATAATTTTATTGAATCACCGTGAGAGCAGTTACAAAGCTTTCGGGTCTAAGTCTCGGTCATACAATGCAACACCCGTACCTTCACGATTTATCAGTAAATATTTGATTTGTGTACCTGGTTTATAGATTTAAATACCCGAGGTCACATACAAATCTTTGAGTAGTAGTTCAGTTTCCAACTGCAGTGCAGTCCTTACCTGCAGTGGTCGTGAGAATGGTCGCTGGGCCCTTCCTTGGTGTCTCAGCACTATTCCCCGCTATGTGGGGCTTGGTATTTGGGGGCTCTTGTGGGGGGGGGAACGCCACACCCAACAGTGCTCAGGGTTTACTCAGGAATCACTCCTGGCGGTGCTCCAGGGGACCATATGGGGTGTTGGGGATCGAACCTGGCATGCAGGGTAATGCCCTACCCGCTGTACTGTCTCTCCAGCCCAGGAGGACAGTGTTCTTACCAAGTTCCTACCGAGTGCTTTGAAGACAGCCACCTTAGTTCTAGAAATGATTACCTTCACACTCATAATAATTTTTTTTCCCCTTCCTGGTAAGATGGACAAAAGAGTGGTTTCAGGGCAGAGATGGCCCAGTGGGTAACTCATGCGATGTGTGTAGATCTGTATACCCGAGATCGCATACAAATCTTTGAGTAGTAGTTCAGTTTCCACCTGCAGTGCAGCGGTGGTCGTGCTGAGTGTCTCAGCACTATTGGTTTGAACCTGGTACCACATGATCCCCTGAGCAATGCCAGGCATGATTCCCAAACAAAAACTAAGAAAAGGGTGGTTTTGATGGGGGGGTATCATCATTTTCTATATCCTTTCAAAATTCAACTCTGTTAAGCCAGGCCAAATCCTCTGGCAGCCTTGGTTGACTTTCTTCCTAAACTGGTATCTTCCCATCTGTTAATGGGCAGATGGGGATTTAATCTCTGTTCACAAGCAGTTTGTTCAAGCGGAGTTTAGATAAAGAAGCACCTGTATGCAGGGAGTGTGCTTTAGAGTGATTTGTTGAATGATCTCTAAGTTTATATTAAAGGTTAGAAATATACCATTCAGTGGAGATCATGCTAATCAGTGGCTGAATAAATAGCAGTACTCCTACAGAAAAAAAAAAAATACCATTCAGGAGTTAAGGTCCAAAAGCAAGAATACATAGGTTGCATTTAGTCTTAAAGCTCTGTACAGTACTGAAGTTTCTCATTTGTAATCTGTTTCTATTAACATTATTGTAAGCTTAGTTTATCACTATGGAATCTCTGCATCTGGATTACCTGAGCGAATTTCTACTGGCATATTTATTTCCATTCCAGAAAATAAATATGCCAGTAGAAATTCACTTGTCATTTGTCCTACACGTAGCCTATGGCAGCCTTTTGATTAGCTTCAGGTGGAGATGTATCGGCTTGGTTTTTCACTGTTGATGAGACGGGAAATTCTGTTTGTGCTCCTTTTCAGGCCAGTCGTTGGTTATGGAAAAAAGTGAAACCCCAGCCCCCTTCTTCTGGCCTACCTCCTTGTCCTCGGCTTGGACATAGCTTCTCTTTATATGGTAACAAATGTTTTTTGTTTGGTGGACTCGCAAATGAAAGTGAAGACTCGAACAACAATGTGCCCAGGTACGCAGCTCCGTGGGCCAGCTCCCAGCTCCCAAACTTGCTTGGCTGATGCCCTCCTCCTTTTCAGAAAAGGAGGCACCTCTCCGCTCTCAGAAGTCAGTCTTTTTCTTGGTCAACACAACACATCCCAAATTGCAACCGAGTCTATTCCTGTTTCCCTGGATTATCCCAGTACTCCCCTGGGTAGGGGGTGGTTTAGGTTAAGAACATTCCATGTTTTTGATTTTTATTAAGCACTTAAAAAAAAAAAACTTAAACCTAAACCGCTAGTGAAAAAATTTGTGTGTATTTATGTTTCCTTCTCTCTAGAGTTTACTTAAAACTTGGCTTATTTCTTCTTACTGACTCTACCATATCTAGTTACCATTGGTAATAATCTACCTTTGTTTCACAAATATATTCCATGAAGTATTTTCATTAGATGGTAAATAATCATGAAAAGGAACACATGGCTGTTGTATTTTTTTTTTATTCAATTGATTTATTGGGGGGGAGGGGGCGGGAGAGGGCACAGCCAGGTGTTTTAGGGCTTACTCTTGTCTCAGCTCTCAGGGGTCACTCCTGGTGGTGCCCTACCCACTGTACTATCTCCCTGACCCCTCACATGATTTTTTGGAGGGAGGGAGAGGACAGACCCAGTGATGTTCAGGGGTTACTCCTGGCCCGACACTCAGGAATTACTGCTGGCAGTTTCCTGGGGGACCAGATGGGATGCTGGGGGTCAAACCCAGGTCAGCTGTGTGCAGAGCAAATGCCCTACCTGCTGTACTGTTGCTCCGCCCCTCACCTGGTTATTTTAAACTCAGTTTCCTCTCAGTGCCCCAAATCAGACTACAAAATAGTTATCATTTCTTTTCTTCATGCGTGAAACCATTAGAGTGGTTGACTCGAGTAATTTCTTTTTGAGCAGATCCTCCCTTCCTTTTTCCAGACAGTTGATGCAGCCTTTTATCTTTTCACACAATATTTGCACAATATTGCCATTAGAACACATAGGATCAGGAGACTGAGAGTCCAGAAGGGGACATTCTGACCCCTAGCTTATCATGTGTGTCTGTCACAGAAAGTCATCAAGGCAAGTGTTCCATCACGGTGAAATGGAACTTACTGGAAATCTACAGTTACCGTGTCATACAGTCCTTCCCCCTTGCCGTCAGCGTGCAATGCAGTGATCGTTGTGGCCATGTCAACTTTTTTACCTAGATTAGATCGATGTCTAGAGTTTAGTCTTTCTTCCTCAATCTTTAAAAATAATTATGAAACATGATTCGCATGTGTGTGGCCCGGGCTCAGTTCCTGGCACCAGAGTCTCCTGAGCATTGACAGGATTGACCCATTGAGTAGGAGTTGCCCCTGAGCACCACTGGGTGTGACCCCGAATCCAAATGAAAAGAGAACACTTTAAAACTTGTCCTGAGAGACAGCAGTTGTTCAGGGTGGAGGCCGCTTGTCTTGTACGCCGCCCACCTGTGTTTGGTCTCCAACATCCCAATGGTCCCCAAGCCCTGCGAGGAGTAATCCCTGAACTCAGAGCCAGAAGTAAGCCCTGAGCTTACATCTCTGAATGTGGCCAAAAAAAAAAAAAGCAAAAATTATCATGAAAATGTTACTGAGTATACTGAAATATGCTCAAATGTCATGGAAAAGTTGGGAACTAGAGAGAAAGAAAAAATCGGTACTTCAGTATTTTCATTCAGATGCTTTTATTTATTTATTTTGCTTTTTTTTTTGGTTACACCCAGCGATGCTCAGGGGTTATTCCTGGCTCTGCACTCAGGAATTACTCCTGGCGGTGCTTGGGGGACCATATGGGATGCCAGGGATCGAACCCAGGTCGGCCGCGTGCAAGGCAAACACCCTACCCGCTGTGCTCCGGCCCTCAGATGCCTTTAATTAGTCCTTCATGAACTTGAAAAAAGTTGTTTCAGTTTTTTGTTTTTGGGTCAGACTGGGAATGTTCAGAGCTTACTCCTGGCTCAGTGCTCAGGGTCACTCCTGGCAGAGCTCAGGAGACCGTATGTGGTGCCAGGAATGAACCAGGGTTGGCTGCATGCATATTATCTCTCTAGACCCTGATCTTGGAAGACTTTCATAAAGTAGAAAGTAAACAAACTGTTCTTCATGGTTTCACTGACCCTCAAGCTTAGGAAACACATCATTTAATTTTTGGTGTAATTTTTGAGACCTTTATCTAAAACCCATTCTATTAATCAGCTTTCATTGTATTATTTGTCTAGCTTTTGTTAGATTATTAAAGATAATAGGCAAGCTTCCCAAGGTTGTGTTATTTGAGGGAGCAAATATATACGAGACGACTTTTCAAGTCCTCTGAGCACCATTTCTGTTCACATTCCAAGCCCCGAGTCAGCGGTCCTGGCCTGGATGCTTTTATGAATAGAGTGGCTGTGAAGGTCTGGGTGCGAGTCCTTACCCAGCCATGCTTGTAATTCTCATGAGTTGGTGCCAAGCCAGGTCATGTGGTAAATTTAGATGGAGCTTCTTGAGAACTACCAGAGTGTTCTCAATGTAAGTTTTTCGGGGGGAGGAGCATCTCAAGTCGTGCTCACACGGCCCCTGGGCCTCTCCTGGTGGTTCTCAGCCATGATTCAATGCAGTGCCCGGGATTACCAATCTGGCAGTGCTGGGGGCACCAAATGGTGTTGGGGATCCAACTTAACACAGTAACAACAAGTCTCAAAATGGAGACGTTCCTGGGCCTGCTCGAGCAAATCGATGAACAATGGGAGGACAGTTGTTTGTTGGGGTCAAGGTGTGTGCAGCGAATGTGTTTTAGCCCTTGTCATCTCCCTGGCTCCTAACATTCCTACCTACTGTGTGTGTGTGTGTGTGTGTGTGTGCGTGTGTGTGTTTGGGGCACCCGGGGTGGTGTGGTAGTGCTGAAGCCATACCAAGCAGTGTTCAGGAACTGTTCCTGGCTCTGCATAGGACCGACCCCTAGCAGTGCTTGGGAGGCCAGAAGCAGTGCTTGTGGTGCTGGGGGTTTGAACTGGGGTCGGCGCCAGATAAGATGAGTACTTTACTTCCCGTGCTGTCTCTTGAGCCCCAGCAGTGTGTGAGCGCTCTTGTTCCCGCCACCAACCTAGTGTCCACCAACTGTAGATGAGATGTCTGTAAGTGGATCTCACTGTGGCCTTAACTTGCATTTTTCCTAATGACCAGTCAGTTGACAGTCTTTTGGTGCATGCATTTTAGTCATTCATGCCCCTGCTGCCTCCTCCCCTCCCCATCTTCCTCCTCTGCCTCCTCCTCCTCCTCCCCCTCCTCTTCCTCTTCCTCTTCTCTTCCTCCTCCTTTCTCTTTTCCCCCTTCCCTTTGTCTTTGCAAGGATCAGAATTTGCACACTTACTTGCTCCTGTGGCGCTCACACAGACTTGGTGGCAGCACTCTGGAGCTCACTGGCTGTCATTCCACCAGGACTCAGAGTTGGCTGCGCTACTGGGATTCCCCATCCCGCGGGGGTGCTGGGGTTCGAGTTCCTTTGTGGGGGCAGCTGCTCTGCCACCGAGCAACATCCCTGGCCCCACGTACTCGTGCTTCTGTGTACATTAATACCTCTGGAACACATTTTTTTTTTTTGTCAAAAACGTCTGTTTTTTATTTTTATTTATTTTTTAAAAAATTTTTAATAGTGAGACATCATGAGGTACAGTTGCAGACTTACACATTTTTTGTGCTTGGGTTTCAATTGTACAATGATCAAGTACCCATCCCTCCACCAGTGCCCATTTCCCACCACCATGGATCCCAGTATCCCTCCCACCCCCATCTCACCCTGCCTCTCACCCTGCCTCTGTGGCAGGGCATTCCCTTTTGTTCTCTCTCTCTTATTGGGTGTTGTGCATTCCCTTTTGTTCTCTCTCTCTTATTGGGTGTTGTGGTTTGCAAAAGAGGCAATGGGTGACAATCATGTTTAGTCTATAGTCTACTTTCAGCATGCTTCTCCCATCCTGGGAGGATCCTCCCAACACCCTTTATTTGGTGCTCCCTTCTCTATCTGAGCTCCCTTTTCCCCTAGCATGTGTGGTTGGCCTCCAAGCCTTGGAGTAAAATTCCTGGTACCAATATCGGCCATTCTTGGGTGTTAGTCTACTATTTTGTTACTTTATGTGGAACACATTTTTTTATGACTAGCATGAGACTGTTTTTCCCCTACTGGATTTCCGTTTCTCTTCCTCCAATTTTTCAAAGAAGTTACTTTCCCCCTCATTGCTCTCTATCATATTAGTAATCTTCACAAAAATGGGCAAATGGGCTGTCTAATGAGGTCTGAGTCACTCTCCTGTCCGTCCTCCCTCCCCCACCCCCCACCCCCACCCCACTAGTCTCAGGAGTAGTTGTGACTAACCGGGTGTGATGAAATGATGTTAGGTAACTTCCGCAGCTGAGTATGGGGAGTCTGTACAGCTTGATGGAGACATTTGCTGTCAAAACCCCGAAATCATGACTCTGCCCCGAATCCCCCCATCTGGACAAGTCCATTTCTGGTGATGAGGCTGACAGTCCCCGGGCAGCCTTCCTTCATCTCTGGGGAGGAGTCTGACAGGGACTATGTGTTCAGGTCTACCCACCTGAGGCCTCAGCCATCACTGCTGTGTCCTTTGGGTTCCTTGTGGATAGAAGGCAAGAGCCTAATAGAATGGCTGCTTGTGTTAATATCACTAACATGGGGACTTTGCTCCACGACTCCGGGTATCCCGAATAGTCACTGTCCACGGCAAATACCTTGTCAGACCCCCCCCCCCCCCAGCCCCACCGCTTTACAGATGCCTGCCTGTGTGCCTTAGAAGCAGGCTACAGAAACTGCTGTGCAGCCTGTTTACCTTGGCCTCAGAAGGCACATAATGTCACTGTTGCATTAGTCACTGGTCTGCCCAGAGTCCAGGGAGAAAGAGAGCATTCAAATTTGCAGCTCTATTTTTAGACCACCACTTTTGTTATGGACAAAAATGTTGGCTACACTCTGGCAGGAATAGTTAAAAAATCTCTTCTGTTCCCCAGAAGAGCTCCAGTATATACTAGAATTCAGTAAACATAGATGAGGTCCTCTCTCTGTATGATGTGAATTTTAAAGTAAATCTACATTATCTTTGCAAGTAGAAACAGGAAGCCAGAAAGTGGCACACACTAACATTTCAATCCCTCTTATGACACCCTAGATATTTGAATGATTTCTACGAGCTGGAGCTACAGCACGGTTCGGGTGTGGTGGGCTGGAATATTCCGGTGACTAAAGGGGTCGTGCCTTCTCCAAGAGAATCCCACACAGCTGTCATATATTGCAAAAAAGACTCTGGAAGCCCAAAGATGTATGTTTTTGGTGGAATGTGCGGTGCTCGCCTGGATGACCTGTGGCAGCTTGACATAGGTAAGCGTGGCTGGATGAGGCTCAGGAATGGGCTAAGATTGAGGCAAATGCAGAATCACCTTGGAAAGTATTTCTGATTGCAGTACATACTGGGTTGCACAGAGATCTAGAACTCGGGGTAGCCACTGTATAAAGTGAGTGGTCGCCAATTAACCACAGTGAACAAATGACTATTTGATTTCTGATACTAATTCTGCCTGTGTGTCCTCTAAATCAGGGCCTCGTATATTCTGGTCTGCTGCGCTTGGTCTTGGTGTGTGCTTATTTTCCTACATAATTATCAGCAGTATTCCTTTCACTCTGCAAAGAGGCCTGGCTGGACATGCTCAAATTTATATGGTTAGTCTGTCTACAGGAGACGCGATAATCAGTATTACCGCTGGTTAGCAAAAAAAAAAAAAATCCAGGAGTAGCTTTTTGAAGGAATCTGAGGCTGAGTGAGTGGATGGTCTGACTCTTCCCTTTTACACAAGGTGCTCTTAAAAGGTCAAATCGCTTTCTGGTCTTAATTCAAAGTTGGTGCAACCCTAAATACAACCCCCCTTCACAAATAATAACATTTAAGTGTGGACCAGTTTCTGTGATTGGCAACTTAACAGCAGCTAGGAACCTTGATCTTAAGACCAAGTTAATGGTTTTGCAAGCTTTTTGTTTTGATTTTTTTAAAAAAGTTTGTTAAAGGAGTGATTTGCCGTTAGGTGATCAAGTTGCTAACATACTTATTTTTACTTCTAGAAACGATGTCCTGGTCAAAACCAGAAACAAAAGGGACGGTGCCACTTCCGCGAAGCCTCCACACCGCCAGCGTTATAGGAAACAAGTATGGCATTTCTCTGTTTGGTGACTTTTGCTTCTTTGAAAAAAGGAAATAGTGACAAGTATGCCAAAAGAGGAGTGGTACTAATTGTTCCTTGGAAGTAGGCAAAACTCAGTGTTAGCTTGTGCTTACTGAAGCTGCAGTGATGGGCCTGCATCAGAGGACTAGTGCAGGGCATGAGGCGCTGGCCTTACGTGCCGTTGACCCCAGTTCTGTTATCCTAGGCACCGTGGTTCCCTGAGCATCACCAGGAGTCAGGAGTAGCCCTTGAGTACTGCCAGGCAGGACCCACAAACTATACATTTTTTTTTTCCTGGACACCCGACAATGTTCAGGTATTATTCCTGGCTCTACACTCAGGAATTATTCCTGGTGGTGCTCTGGGGACCCTATGGGATGCCAGGGATTGAACCCAGGTCAGCCACCTGCATGACAAACGCCCTACCTGCTGTCCTCTTGCTCTGGCTCCCAAAATAAATAACATATATTAATACTGTTAATCATGGTACCTAAAATTTAAAAAAAAAAAAGTACTAATAGGCCTCCACAAACAAATACTTCCTGGCCTCTCCTTCCCGTTTTGGTTTTGGGTCATCCTGTGTGGTTCTCAGGGGCTGTTTCTCACTCTGTGCTCCGGGGTGCCCTGGGGATCATATGCGGTGCTGGGGATCTGAGCCGGGCTGGACGGAATGCAGGACAAGCGCCTAACCCCTGTGCTGTCTCTCCAGCCCCGGGCCGTTGTCTCAGAGCTGCCCCCTTGCCTCCCTTGCCCCACGGCGCCTCTGAACAGAGTGGGTGTTGCTTACACGTAAGACAGAGTGTGCTCGAGCTGGCCAGGCCTCGTCCAGTGCAATGGACACACCTCGCTCACTGTTTGCTTTTCCTTCCTTTCGCTAGCACTTGATTTGTGAACACTTCTGTGTTCTCAAGGACGGGCTCTCAGCCCTTAAGCTTTGGCTGGAGTTTGGGTTAGAACACGGATGCTGGCAACCAAGTCTCTGCTTTGGCTTGTGCAGTGTCTCCTGGGGTCAAGAAGTGTACTCTGCGTGCAGCTCAGTTTCCTCTGTGCTCAGTGATCACTCCTGGCGGGCTCAGGGGACCATATAGGGTGTCGAGGATCGAACCTGGGTCAGCAGTGTGCAAAGCAAATGCACTGCCCGCTGTACTATTGCTCTGGCCCCAAAAATTCTGTAAGGATTAGATGTTGTTATCGTCAACAAGTTTTATTTGTGCAGCATTGGGTGAAGATTATTAGTATTGTTGAAGCAGAGTTTATTTACTTGGGTGGAACTTCACCTTGAAATTTACATTTTAGGAAACAACTACTTACAAAATAGAGAGCATCATTAGTTCTTTTTTCAAAAGTAGTCTTGAAGAAACTCAAGATACTGTTTCAAGCAGCAGAACACTTTCATAAAATGCAGTTTCCTGGAGTCGGAGAGATAGTTTGGTGGACTGGTGTGCAAGCGTTGCATGCAGGAGGCCTGGGTTTCATTCCTGGTACCTTGTGGTTCCCTAAGTACTGAGCACCTCTGAGAGCAACAGAGCCAGGAGTTGTTCCTAAGCACTTCCGGGTATGTTCCAAACCTCTGCCCCGCCAAATTGCAGTTTCCCACAGGAATCCCACTATATAAAATACATTTTTAAAAAGAGAGGTTTTTTTTGTTTGTGTAAGGACATGTGAACCCTCAGCTCTTCCTTTTGAACCTTTCTTCTTTAGAGACTTGTGGGCATGTCCTAAGAACCCTTAGGTCAGGAGAACTATAGCTTTCAAGTCTTTCATTTGAGGCATATCAGAGACCAAACAGTTCCATGAAACAGTCCTCCATGGTTACTACTTGCATGCAGTTCAAAACGGAGCTTTAAATGTCCTAGGTAATTGAGTGTTTTTCTGAATGAGCTCGCCTTCATATGTGGCGGACAGTACTGATTTTTGAAACGTTTCATTTAAGAAAATCATTTTTTTCTTTTTGTTTTTTGGGTCACACCTGGCAATGCACAGGGGTTCCTCCTGGCTCTGCACTCAGGAATCACCCCTGGTGGTGCGCAGGGAACCATATGGGATGCTGGGAATCGAACCTGGGTGGGCGCCGTGCCATTCCCTCCCCGCTGTGCTATTGCTCCAGTCCCAAGAAAATCATTTTTTGAAATGGGGGTGCCATACCCAGCCATGTGGTGCCAGGGCTTGGCCTGAGCCTCCCACATGCAAAGCACGCTTGTAGAACTCGTCACCCGCTCCCTGACCCGGAGAGCCTGACTGTAACGTGTCAGAACGTTGTGATTCCTTGCTGCTTCTTAAGACCGGAAACTCTTGGAGTGGAGAGCGTGAGGGGCTAAGGCGCCTGCCTGAGACAACCCAGCTTTGCTTCCCGACGCCGCTTTTCTTTCCCCCAAGCACTGTTCAGGAGAGATCCCTGAGCACAGAGTCAGAATAAGCCCTGAGTGTTGCTGGGTAGGGCCCTAAAACCAAAAATGAAACAAAACATCAAACATTTTGGAACAGGACCACTTTGTCATTATCTTTTTCCCATTACTTTCCTCCCAGTGATGAGTGAATAAGTAGTCCTGAAGTTTTGAGACAACAAATAAGAAATTTAAGTTCACTCCTAGCATTTAAGAATTTCTAAAACTCAATTAAACCTTCAGGGGGAAGGAAAAAAAACCTTGGCTACTTTTATGTTCTTATTTGTTGTTGTTCAGGATGTACATTTTTGGTGGCTGGGTCCCACATAAAGGGGAAAATAATGAGACTGCACCCCATGATTGTGAATGGAGATGTACCAGTTCATTTTCTTACCTAAATCTGGGTGAGTCTTTGAAGAATTCCTTACCGAAATCGAATTTCTTTCATGAAAGCATTTTTGGTCACTTTGTGGTTGAAGAAGACATTCCTCATGAATGTTTCTGTCTCTCTAGATACGGCAGAGTGGACCACCCTTGTGTCAGATTCTCAGGAGGATAAAAAAAACTCACGGCCTCGACCCCGAGCCGGACATTGTGCAGTTGCTGTTGGCACCCGGTTGTACTTCTGGAGTGGAAGAGACGGCTACAAAAAGGCCCTAAACAGTCAAGTTTGCTGCAAGGACCTTTGGTATCTTGATACTGGTGGGTAAGAGTGGCGAATAATGCTTTTTCCTTTAGGTAAATAAGTCATTGGAATGATTTTCCTCTTCGGGGACTGTGAATGCCACAGCCTCTCTTTCCCATAAGTAAAAGTGGAGACAACGAAGAATCTCTGTAGATACTCACGGCCGCAGAGGGGTCATTCGTTCCGCTCTCTTGAGTCTAGCCTGGGTTCTGAGACCCCGCTGGGAAGAGAGTATAGAAAGGGAACGAGAGCGGCTTTACAGGGGGAAACCCTGGCAAGAGCCCCCTAGTTGAGGCTGGTACTGTTCGTAACGTCATTTTGATTCCAGTTACCTCCTCCGCCATGAGCATGATGAGGAGATAACCCCAGTGGTTCTCATTCCAGGGATCTGTAATGCCATCCCAGTGAGACCCCCCAGGGCAGAGGGGCATCCTAGGTGGTCTCTGTAGAAGGTTGCAGAGGTCTGGTGCGAGGGGCTGGGGGGAAGGGAGAGTGGGCAGGGCACTTGCCTCGCCCCTAGCTTCCGGGGTTCGATCTCCAGCACCCCATGTGTTCCTTTGATCGGTGCCAGGAGTGATCGATTTCTGACCTGAGCCAGGAGTAAGCCTTGCACACTGCCAGTAATGGCCCCAGAATAGAACAGAAATGTTTACTGTGATGAAAACAAAAACAAAAAAGCCCTGAGAAATAGGTAACTGTTTCTGTAACTGATCTGTAAAGACCAGAGGAGCCTAAGGCAAAAGGACAAAATTCACTGTGTTAACCTGGGTTGTCTCCTGGCATCAAGAGCCAGTAGTGGAAACACTGGAGAAATCCAAGTAGCTGGTTCGGGTAATAGTATTTCCCCCCAGAGTTAATTTCCCGGTTCTGACAAATATATGAGCAGTAGATGAGTGAATGACATAAGGGAGTGCTAATTTTTCTTAAAAGCACTGCATCGTCCTCCCGTTGTTCATCGATTTGCTCAAGAGGGTACCAGTAACGTCTCTATTGTGAGACTTGTTGTTATTGTTTTTGGCATATCGAATACACCATGGGGAGCTTGCCAGGCTCTGCCCTGTGGACAGGATACTCTCGGTAGCTTGCCGGGCTCTCTGAGAGGGACAAAGGAATCGAACCCAGGTCAGCCATGTGCAAGCCAAACACTCTACCCGCTGTGCTATTCCTCCAGCCCAATTTTTAAAAATTTAAGAAATTTTTCTTAAAATCTAAAATTATTCCAAAGTAAATGTTTTTATTTATTTTTTTTATTTTTATTTATTTGGTTTTGGGGTCACATCTGGCTGTGTTTAGGACTTACTCCTGGCTCTGTGCTCAGGGGACCTTATGTGGTGCTGAGGATCAAATCTGCAGTAGACACATCCAAAGCAAGTGCCTTAGGCCCTGAATTGTCATCTTTCTGTCTTCAAAATAAGTTTGTTTTTTTTTTTTAAAGTATCATAACAGGGATTGGAGAGCTGCTATAGGAATGAGATCCGTTTACTTGTGTGTAACTGACCCTTTTGAAGTCCCTGGCACCACATATTTAAGCATATTGGCTATTTGTGACTTTTATTTAAAAGGTTAAAAAGAATTGATTCTGGGGGGCTGGAGAGATAGCACAGCGGGTAGGACATTTGCCTTGCACGCAGCCGACCTGGGTTCGAGTCCCAGCATCCCCTATGGTCCATGGTCCCCTGAGCACCGCCAGGAGTAACTCGTGAGTGCAGAGCCAGGAGTAACCCCTGTGCATTGCTGGGTGTGACCCAAGAAGCAAAAAAAAAAAAAAATTGATTCTGAATGTCCCATATCCCCATAAATTTCTCCATAGAAGTCTATAGACACAGATGACTGTCTCAAAGTATTCATGGTCACTACGAGAACAAAATCGAGGGTTATTTTCCTCTTAATAAGATATTAGGCTAGAGAGAGCACAGCAGGGAGGGCTCTTACCTTATGGCACACAGCTAACTTGGTTCGATCCCTGGCACCACAAATGGTCCCCAGACATCGACAGGAATGATCCTGAGCACAGAGCCAGGAGTAAATCCTCAGCACTGTTGGGTGTGACCCAAAACCCAAAATAAATAAGGTGACTTCGGTTTGGGGATGAGAGGAGTATAGGAATACGAATTCTCCATCTTGCCTTTTCTCACATTAAGTGAAATTTTGTTCACTTGCAGCATAAACAAGAGTGTAATTCCATGTTTGTGAGCAGTCATTGGCTTTTACTCCCACTTCCAGCCAGTTTCCTTGCTTTACAAGTACCTACTTTTCGCACGACCTGAACAGTTCTTTTGGGATTTACTTCCATGTCTCCTTAGATGATATGTTATATCATGTAGTGCAACTTGGTTGGGTTTTTTTTTGTTTGTTTGTCTTGATTTTAGGGTACGATGTATACACTTGCTCTCTACTGGATGTTAGGGATTTCTTCCTCTCCCCACATTCCTTATTGCTCTTAGGTACCTCTCCTACCCTCATTATCCATACGATCACCCCATGATTGTGTTAGCTGCGTATTCTGTATTATATATTATGCCTATAAAAACACTCAGAGGTGACCCATGTGGGAGATCATGTCGAATACCTTCCTTCTGCAGTTGTTTTATTTGCCGTGCATCAGTAATTGTCACATCTGCTTGTTTTAGAAGTGTAGGTGTTTACCACTGATCCAATCCATGCTCTCTATTATTTGTTCAAATCTTCTCTCAGTATGGTGAGCTGCATCAGGTGCTCTGTCTGATGTGCTCGCCCTGGCTCCCACCCAGGCACAGCTGTCATCTCCAAGTCTCCAGCATCCTCCAGGGGATAACTTTTGCCTCCCACCTGTGCCAGATTCCCTGTTTCCCCGATCTCACATTTTCCCCTTACTTAGTTCACTTCCTGTTTTTGTTTTTGAATACATCCCAGGAAAAGGGTGCATGGATGATCAGTTTGTTTTGTGATCTTGCATTGTTTAAAAATATGGTCGTTCATCTCCTCACTTAATTGACATTGTGCTTGGGCATAGAATTCTGTGTTGGAAATTGTTTGCCTTCAGAAACTTGAAAGCATTGTTGTGTTATATCCAAGGAGATTGTTTGGTATTTTTATGGAGGAAACTAAACTACTTCTCCTTTCTTTTTCCTTTTTACTGATTCCTGGTCCTTTTCAATGTGACAGACCCTCGTCTCTTACACCCCTCCCAAGTTTTTAGGAATTTTATTCTTTGTGTCGTTCCTAAATTTTTTGATGCTATTTCTAGTCACTTCTGCTGTTATATAAAGAACAAATTATAGACAGGGCTGGAGAGAGAGTGCAGGAAGGAAAGCACTTGCCTTACATGTGGCCCACCTCAGTTCAAACCCTGCCACAACATCTGATTCCTTGAGCAGTATCAGGAGTCATCCCTGAGGACAGAGCCAGGAAAAGCTTCAGAGCATGGCCAGGTGTGGCCCAGATCCCTCTCCAAAAGTTGTGGACAGTGTAGATAAGTAGGCAGAGCCTTGTTTAAATGAAACTTGATTCGGGGCTGGAGCAATAGCACAGCGGGTAAGGCGCTTGCACGCGGCCGACCCAGGTTTGATTCCCAGCATCCCATATTGTCCCCTGAGCACCACCAGGGGTAATTTCTGAGTGCAGAGCCAGGAGGAACCCCTATGCATCACCAGGTGTGACCCAAAAAGCCAGAAAAATAAAGAAACTTGATTTACAAAAATTGACATGGACTCGATCCAACTCATGAGTCACTTTTTGCTAATTCTTTAAAATGTATGTAGAGATTGTTATTAAAATTTTGGGGTAAGGATTAAATTATAGCTCATAGATTCCAATGTGCAAGAAGAATAAATTATTTTGTAGAACTGGTCAAAGATGAAATAGTTGCCTTTTTTGGAGAATATTGTGTGTTCCGTGACGTGGAAATATGCAGAGAGAAAAAAAACGACATTGCAAAATAATTGCAAGTTCCTTTTTCCAGCTAAATCTCTGGTTGTTATTTGCTTTATAAATATTGCTAGTATTTTACACTAAATTAATTACCTGTTTGAAATAGGACTGATTTTGATAAAAGGGTACTAATATTTAAAAGAATTTTGCTTTTCCAAATACTTTAAGTCATTTAACCAGTAGATAATAGTATTTCAAGTTTCTCTGATGTTGGGTAAAGATTGTCTCATAAAATTAAAGACTTGAAGGTAAAATAATGTAACTGTAATTTGCCATAGGGTTTTTCTCTGATTCTGATAACATTTTTCTCCGATTCTGATAAGTAGCTTTTCACTGGATTGTTTCACTTGTAGATTTAATTGCTTAAGAAATTAAACAAAAATCAGAACACCGGGAACTGGAGCGATAGCATAGCGAGTAGGGCGTTTGCTTTGTACCCGGCCAACCCGGGCTTGATTTCTAGCATCCCATATGGTTCCCTGAGTACTGCCAGGAGTAATTTTTGAGTGCAGAGCCAGGTGTAACCCAAAAAGCAAAAAAAAAAAATTTTTACTTTGGGCTGGAGCGATAACACATTGGGTAGAGCGTTTGCCTTGCACACGGCCGACTCAAGTTCACTTCCCAGCATCCCATATTGTCCCCTGAGCACTGCCAGGAATGATTCCTGAGTGCAGAGCCAGGAGTGACCCCTGAGAATCGCCAGGTGTGACCCCCCCCCAAAAAAAATCAGAACATCAAATTTTTCATTCTACCTTTATTTATTTATTTATTTATTGGATCACTGAGATAGAAGACCATTACAAAGCTATTTATGATAGAGTTTCAGTCATACAGTGTTCCAGCACTGTCCCTCCACCAGTGTACATTTCCCAGCACCAGTGCCCCCCGTTTCCCTCCCACTGCCCCCCTTATTCAACCTTTAGCTGTGTTTTTGTGAACAAACAGATGAGCCATTCATTGCTGGTGTTTCTCAGAGTTTCAGATTCGCACAAACTGTATATGTAGATGAATCATTGATACATGCAAAACTCCAATGCATAATGTTGTTCTTTAGAGAAACCACCAGCACCTTCACAAGTCCAACTGATCAAAGCCACGACCAACTCCTTCCACGTCAAATGGGATGAAGTGCCGACTGTGGAAGGCTACCTGTTGCAATTGAACACCGACTCGCCATACCAGACTGCACCGCCAGATGCGTCAGCAGCCCCGAATATGCAAGGTAACACCCTGGTCACACTTGGAGCATGCCCGCTTGCGTGCCTTCAGAAAGTCTGGGACCAGGCCTGGCGTGAGGAATATCATGAGAGATCAGAGAGACGTGACCCGAAGGACCGGAGCGTGTGCTCTGCATGTGGGTTCCATCCCTGAGCCCTACTGGGAGTGACTCCCCCAGGCATCACCAGGTGTGGCCCAGACCTCCCCCCCACCCCCCATGCACCCCCTGAAATGACAGTTTGTGCCTGGTGAATCAAGAACGTGCATCTCTGCTCTGAAACTTGACAGTGTTGCCCTTGTGAGGTAGAATAAATAGATGTGTAGGAGAATGATTTCCTGCAGTTCATTTTGATGTATTTTCTGAATTTGAATACGCAGAACTCTAGGAGATGGTTTGAATTCCCTATCATAGAAATTTCAGCTTTTAAACTGGGGATGTAGCTTACAGAAGAGCATCTGTGAAGCCTTGGTTTTAATCCTTTGCAACACCCCTCCCCCCACAAAGTCATTAATCATCTTAAAATATATATATCTATATATATATATTTAAGGCACTTGGAAAGGAAAATAAACTTACTTTTACATTTTCTTCTAGCAAAGATCTCATTCAGCTGTTAAAGAAACTGCTACAAACAGAAACTTGGAAAGTATATGACTTTTTTAATCTTTAAATGTCGAACTGGTCCAGAGCCATAGCGCAGAGGGCCAGAGCACATGCTCTGCATCCCGGAGACCTGGGCTAGAGTCCCAGCATTGCCTCGTCCCGTGAGCACTGTGCCAGGAGCAGCCCTGACCACCAAACTGGCTTTGCCCCTGAGTACCACTGGGGGTGGCCCCAAAACAAACAGCATTAGAACTTGAGTTTTTATGTATTTTATCGGAGATCATTTAGACCGTATCAGTCTGAACTTTCTCGTTCCCACAGGAGTCAGGATGGACCCTCACAGACCAGGCAGTAACAGCATCGTTCCTAACAGTGTAAGTTTCCAGATGTGTGACGCTCAGTGCAGATTGGGATGGGGGGGCGGGTTGGAGTCCCAGTTCCTAAAAGATCCCTGTAGCGTGTGGCTCGAGGAACCGTGCTCTCAGCCCCGAGAGGAGACAGACACATTGGGTTTGGAGCTGGCGCAGAGGGCAGGCGCACACGCAGGCCTGGCGGGGCCCTCAGGCACTGCTGGGTGTGTTCCTGAGGGGACCCCAGATGAAAGCAAGCAGGCAAGCCTAGACTCCCAAGCCTTTATCGGGGTCTGGTGAAACACAATCTTGCGGATAGTGCTCGGGCAGCTGTTGCAGAGAAAGCCCAGCAGACCGTGTGACAGTCTGACCTGGGACACCCCGGCCGGGAGCTAGAAGTCCGCGTTTCATTCCGCGTGACCCAAAGCCGTATTCATGAGGACTCTTCTCAGCGCAGGATCTTGGCATCTGTATTTCGGCTTTGCTAAATAGCACACGTGTTTATTTCAGGTTGTAGGCAAGCGTTTCAAAAAGGAGCATGAAATTCGTTTCTTTCATAGTAATTTTTGTGACCAAGAATATGAGTTGCCAAATTGAGCATGTGTGTTTTTGAGGTTACTTTTAATTGTTAAGAGATGCTTCACGCAGGCCAGGGAGATGGTACAGAAGTTGTGGTGCTTGCTTTGCATGCACGGACCCAGTTTTGATCTTCGGCACCACATACGGTTTCCTGAGCACTGCCAGGAGTGACCCCTGGGCACAGAGCCAGGAGTGGCCCCAGGGCAGCACCACCACAGCTGGCCAGCCCCCTCTCTCAAGTCCAGCCCCAACGAAAGAACTGTATAGTGGCTATTGTGGAGACGAATGCATAGTACTCCTTTCAAGATTTCCTTTTTCATATTTTTTTTTAAAATTTTGTTTTATTTAATTATTTTGGCTTTTTGGGTCACCTGATGATGTAATCTGGCGATACACAGGAGTTACTCCTGACTCTGCGCTCAGGAATCACTCCTGGTGGTGCTTAGGGGGCCATATGGGATGCTGGGAATCCAGCCTGGGTTGGCCACATGCAAGGGAAATGCCCTACCCGCTGTGCTAGCACTCCAGCCCCTTCATTTTTTTTTTTTTTAATCTGGCAAACTGCTCTCTACATCAGTAGTAGATTCTTCTTTAATTTTATGTGATTATTATTATCATTTTGGTTTTGGGGCCGCACCCAGCAGCGCTCAGGGCTTACTTTTATTTGAGTCACTCCCGGCGCTGCTCGGGAGACAACAGGGGCTTCTCGGGATTGAGCCCAAGTTGCCTGCGTGCAAAAAATATGCCCTTTCCGCTGTACTGCCACGCTGCACAACCCGTAGGCTCTTTACAAGGGGATTGAGACAGGCACAGGCTCACGAGACTGAGGACTAGAATGGGCAGAAACGTCTTTACATGTCAGGGGGAATCAGGCCACAGCGGAGTAGCCTGTGTCCATGCAGAGTGTGTGTATGTGCACATGTACATACATAAACAGCAGTTAACATATTTCTCTGTTGATGACACCTTGTGTGTATTTGTTTGTGTCTCGCAAATTAATTGGCCCTACAAGAGTTCCAACGAAAGGCAGAATTTCCCTACTTCGTCTCTCCTTGCGCTCGTTCTTGCCCCGTAGAAGCCACCACTATTTTTTCACTATTTCTTGTTTGTTTTGAGTTATGTAAGGTGCTACGAACATTCCTCCTTTTTGTGTCCGGCATTGCTTCTCTAGTAAATCTTTCTTTTTCTTCACCTAATTGCCACTTTTTTCATCTGCTCTGTTTTATTCTTGTCTCTCATTGATTCATGCTCATTCTCCAGCAGACTCAGGGAACTCTTCTTCGGGCCCTGAGTGTGGCTCCGTGGTGGAGCTCGGCCTTTGCACGCATGGGGCTGTGGATTTAATCTCTGCCCTCCCTGGCCCTGACGCACAGTTATGTGGCTGGGGAGGGGCTTCAGGAGGGCTGGACCGGAGTGGGTGCTTTGCATGCTGGAGGGTCCGGTTCCATGCTCGGCACTGCATGGTCCCCCATTCACCACCAGCAGCGACACTCACCGCCTAATCATACGGCTCTTTTCCAAATAGTCAGACACACGTGGGAAGGGCTGATGGTGGTGGTTGTGGTGCCAGGAACCCAGCTCAGTCTCCTACACACCAGACATGAGCTCCAGCACTCGCAAACCCTCTCCTGCCTCTTTTCCCCCTCTTTTTCTTGGAACTATCTCCCCCAGAGCCCACTGTTAGTTTTGTTTGTTGGGTTTTGGGTTTTGGACCAAGCCCAGCAGTTCTCAGCAGGTCTTTCTCCTGGCTCTATGCTCAGGGATGACTCCCGGGAACCGTATGGGGTGGTATGGGGTGCCAGGTATTGTACCCATGTCTGCTGCATGCAAGGCAAGTTCCCTGCCCACTCTACCATCTCTCTGGCCCTGACAGTTGTCTTCTGAAGTGATTACAGAACCTAAAGACTACTCGCATACAAATTGAAATGTGATGGTAGCACCGGGAGTGTGACCCAGTAGGAAGTGTGTGCCTCACCTGTTGTGAGGCCCTACCTTTGATCCCAGGAATCAGGAATAAAATTTTAAAAGATGAAACAAATTCAGTTTTGAAGCTATGTCTATTTTATTCAACTTGGTGTTAAATTTAATTTGAAGTTGTTTTGTTTTTTTTACACGCATTTCTTTCTGAACATACTTGCTTCAATAAATTTATTTTATTTCTTTTAGATCAGTGACACAATGAACAGTGCAAAAATTGAACATACAGCTATGAAAGGAGCGTCAGTGAGAAACAGACCAGATCTCAAAGCATCAGCTGATTCCAATGCCATTTTACATTCATCTTTGGCAACTAATTCTTCTAATCATAATAGTGTGGTGGATATGCTAAGGAAAAATGAAGGTACAGAGGTGGCACTTTAAGAAAAGCAAAACTTTTTTCTAATGGTAGGGAATTTGAGACTCTGAAAAAAAAATAATAAAGTCAGTGTTACATGGTTTTGATCCGGCTTCCAAGTTATACCCTGGCTCAAGAGATGTTCAGGACCTCAGACAAGGGCCATAACTATTGGCACATCATGGACATTCAAATGTGTGGATGAATAAATACCAAGTTAACAGTATGAGCTTGAATTTTTTTTCCCCCTGCAGGTGTGTTTCCGAGGTGGAAGAATAACAAATCAACTTTTTCAGAAAGGGCATCTCATGTAGTCAGAGGTTGATTGGGAAACTTCTTACAAGGGGCCTTTAGAACTATAGGAGGTATGTCAGGATGACGGTAGTGGCCAGGAGAGGAGAAATGGGACCTTGAGAAAGCAGCATTATTAGACTTAGAAACTGGTGGACGGTGAGAAATTAAAATGAGTTTATCGCAATTCTCAGTTATCTGAGTTGGATATATAGATGGGGGAGGAAGCCACCATTTTCTTCATTAACATTGAAAATCTAGGGACCAGAGAGATGCAGTGGGTAGGGTGTTTGCCTTGCATGTGTCCGATCCCCAGCACTCTGTGTGATCCTCCAAGCCCCACCAGGAGTGATTCCTGAGCGCAGAGCCAGGAGTAACTCCTGAGCATCACCAGATGTGGCCCCAAACTCCCCCCACCTCCCCCCGAAAAAGGAAAAGAAAATCTAAAGAGCTGAGGAATAGCGTCAGTGAGGGTATGGAGGAAGCCCTGAATATTATCCCCTGCACTGCATACCCAACACCCAGGGGGCCCTGAGCACTGGGAGCCGAGCATCGAACTCTCAGGACGCCCTGCAGGGTAGAGCATCACCAACCTGGCCCCCAGAGCCCTCCTGCACCTCTGCAATGACCCCTGTAATATAGAGGAACAAGAACAGGTTTGAGGAGAAGAGGCTTGCCTTTCACCTTGCAGGCTCTCAGGCACTGGCGATGTTGGTCAAAAGCTCTGAGAGTTTCCCCTCGTGTGAATATTGCTGTGGGCGTGCCTGGACTGTGGTGCTCACCAGGGCTGGGTTGTAGGGCTGCTGATCTGGTGCCAGGGATCGCCAGCAACAGAGCTGTAGGGAAGCTGCCAGGCGCGCCGACAGCTGAGCTGTGGGTGTGGGCCTTGTATGTGGCTGGCAGGCAGCTGCTTTAGTCATTGAGCCAGCTCCCAGCACCCCAGGTGACGGGTACTTTGAAATTTTTGTCTCGGAGAGTCTGGAAGAGCCAAGAAGGTACTGCCTGCTTGGCTGGATGTCTGCACTGCCAAGTTCAAGGTGTGGGAAATAGAAACTCCACAGAACACTCGTTCGCTGCTAGATTCCCAGCTCCTGGCTTATCCACAGGCCATAGGGATGTAGGGGAACGAATGACCGATGAGTGGTAATTAAGGCACAGGGAATGTATTGTTGGGGAAGAAGAAAAGGACCTAGAACAGCTGCACTTCAAGAGACTTCTGAGGGATGGTTTTGTTGGTTTTGATGCTTTTGGCCACACCTGTCGGGGCTCAGGGTTGCACCTGGGTCGAGCATGGGCCAAGCAAGAGCCTTACCCCCCCGCAACATACTGTCACTCAGGCCCCGTTTGAGTGGCTTGATAACTTGCAGAGTGCGTCAGAAACGAAGAAGAAGCCTGATAACCCCGGATAGAGAGGTATAATTCACGAAAGAGGGCTCCAAAATATGGGTGAGGAATAGGACTCAGGAGCCCAGGAGGTGTGAGAGGTCAGCTTCTCCTCAGGAAGGGGCACGGTCACCGTGGATGCAGGTTTCCAGGCCAGGGTGAGGATGTAGGAAATCGAGAATGCTCATGCCCGAGAACCCCTGCTTTCCTGACGCATGTCCTAATACTTTGATCTTTTCTTTTTGCTTTTAGGTCCTCACACTTCAACAAATCTAGGTGTCCTAAGTAGCCTGGACTTACGAACGGTAATCCCCGAAACCTCCGTATCCAGTACTGTTCCCAGCGCACACACCATGGTAGCCCAGCAGACCATTAAAACCGAATCATCCAGTACAAATGGGGCAGTTGTTAAAGATGAAACTTCACTAACAGCGTTCAGTACCAAATCTGAAGGTTTGAAATGCGTTTCACCTACTGTATTTTGAACCATTTTATGTATATAAATTCATCAGACTTGTTTTAGATGGGAATTGCATTTATCTTGAATCATAAACATAAAACAGTGCAGTCGATGTAATATACTCTGCTCTTACATGAAGCATTTAAATCAGCACACAATGAACGTACTGCAGTACAGTTAGAATATTCCTTCCTTTTTCCCCCTCCATCCTTGCCTTCCTCCCTCCCTCCTTGCCTTCCTCTCTCCCCCTCCCTCTTCCTTCCTCCCTCCCTCCCTCCTTTTTTCCCTCCCTCCCTCCCTCCCCCTTCCTTCCTTCCTTCCTCGCTCCCCCCTTCCTTCCTCGCTCCTTCCTTCCTTCCTTCCTTCCTTCCTTCCTTCCTTCCTTCCTTCCTTCCTTCCTTCCTCCCTTGCTTTTTGGGCTACACTGGCTGTTCTCAGGGCTTACTCCTGTCTTTGTGCTCATAGATCACTCCTGGTAGGACTCAGGACCTTATGTGGTGCCAGGGATCAAATCAAACCTGGGGCTACCATGTGCAAGGCAGGTGCCCTACCCACTGTACTGTCTTTATGGCCCCAGATATATCTTTCTTAATGTATTTAGCCATAGTTTTTTTTTTTATTAGACTTTTATTTATTTATTGAATCACCATGAGAACAGTCACAAAGTCTTTCAGTTCAAGTCTCGGTCGGTCATACAATGATCAAACACCCGTCCCTTCAACCGTGCACATTTTCCACCACCAAGAACCCCATATTTAGCCATGTTTTTCCCCAAGAAAGTATTTGTTCTAGACAGTAGAGTAGCAGTTCTCTCGTTTTGAGTAATTTCTGACTTTGTAGATTCTTTTGTTTGCTTTGCAATGGGATTCGTGGGTTTTTATTTTTTCTTTTTCTTTTTTGTGTCACACCCGGTGATGCACAGGGGTTACTCCTGGCTAATGCACTCAGGAATTACTCCAGGTGGTGCTCAGGGGACCATATGCTGGGAATCGAACCTGGGTTGGCCACGTTTAAGGCAAACGCCCTACCCGCTGTGCTTTTGCTCCGGCCCCAGGGATTCGTGGTCTGTCTCTACATTCTCTGAAGTTCTAGCTAGACCTTTGAAAAATATTTGTGAAATTGATTTGAGCATCGAGGGTCCATCTGTCTAATTGTTATGATTCGCTTCCTCTAATTATTTTTTCCACATTTGTACGGTGCATTTTGATATGTCTATTTGATCTGTGACGATGTGTGTCTTACTGGATGATTTATTTCACTTTCAGGTGATGAAACGTCACTGCCAGCAAGTAAGATCAGCCGTGTTGAAGGTCCTGCCGCAGCCCTGCCCTTCGCTGTGAGTACTGGGTACCTGCCAAGGGTGTGCGCATGCAGATGCCGCAATGCTTGAGGTACCGAGCAGCGGGCACCCCGGCCAGCTCCCGACAGGACACTTGGGTCTCATAATGACTCGTTGCAGACTGGAGACAGTCGGTCTTATGTTACACGAAGGAGCTGGATCACAGATCTCACATGTGCACAGGGGATTCTCCTGGCTAATGCACTCAGGAATTACTCCTGGTGGTGCTCAGGGGACCCTATGGGATGGTCGTATGAGGCAGTGCTCACAGTTCACCTGTTCTCATTCCTGTGGGCAGCTGTGCACGCCCCACTGCCGACACAGCTCACTGGTACTTTGTGGTTTGGTGGTAGTTCCTGCTCTGTGGTGACACTCCCCCCCACGCCTTCTCTGTTCTTCTCTGAGGAAATGTCTGTGTGTGTGTTAGTGGTTGAAAGAGTGAACGAACATGTTCTGGAACATATAATTCGAGCACCTCCGTTCCTGGCTGTTCCATCGGGGCACCATAGACTATTGGTATTTGGGGTTGCGTATGCCTGGAGGATGGCCACATAATCTGTGGTGCTGGGGTATTTTATGGAAGGATGGAATTGGGCTGCACGGCCCCAGACTTAAATGTTAGGAATATACCTTTTCTTTTTCCTTTTTTTTTTTTAATGTAGGAGTATTGTTATTTATTCAGCCGTTGATTAGGCTGATTGAATTGGGCATGAAGTCCACCTTTTTTTTTCCTTTTTTATAATTTTATTTATTGAATCATCGTGAGAGCAGTTACAAAGCTTTTGGGTTTAAGTCTCGGTCATACAATGAAACACCTGTCCCTTCACCAGTACCCGTTTTCCACCACCAAAACCCCCAGTATACCCCCCATCCCACACCCTCCCCCTACCTGTAGAGTAGATGATTTCCACATTACTCTCTCTTTGATTTCATTCGATATTTCAACCCCAGACCCACCATCATTATTTGGGATTTTACCCCAACACTCAGATCTGCCGAAAAGGCTACAGTAGACAATTTGTTTCCTATTGCTGGTTATGAATAACATATGATTTTGGAATTCCGAATTTTTTTTTTCTTTTGGGTCACACCTGGCAATGCACAGGGGTTACTCCTGGCTCTGCACTCAGAAATTACTTCTGGCAGTGCTCAGGGGACCATACGAGATGCTGGGAATCGAAACCGGGTTGGCCACGTGCAAGGCAAACACCCTACCTGCTGTGCTATCTCTCCAGCCCCTGGAATTCCGAAATTTTAACAATTAAATCTGGAGGTATTTCTACCAAAACTGCTGGGTTCCGAGATTTGTTCCCGAGTCTCTTGGATCATGGCCGTTAAGCAGCTTGATCAGGAGCCACAGAAGCCATTTGTGGGTGGTGACTTGGGATCTCATTGGGGCTGGGAGGAAGGGGCCGGCTCCACCCTCATCCCATGAATTCCCGCATCTCATCACTGTGACCCCAATCCTGACTGTCCAATGACCTCTGGAGGATGCTGGCCACCGAGCCGCCAAGGGGCAACAGGTGGAGGGACAGCACCCTTTCGCCCCTGGGATGGCTTGGCGCTGGTACCTACTGTGAGGACTGGATGCATTTCTGCCAAAAGCTGCTGGGTTCCGAGATTTGTTCCTGAGTCTCTGGGATCATGGCCATTCTGCTTGATTGTTAGTGGGCAGTAACTTGGGGTTTCGTTGAGGTGGGGAGGAAAGGGCCAGCTCCACCCCCATCCCATGAGGCCCTGCAGGTCTCGTCACTGAGGGCTCAAACCTGACTGTCCAATGGCCTCTGGAGGATGGTGGCCACCAAGCTGCCAAGGGGGAACAGGCAGTGGGACAGCACCCTTTCCCCCCTGCAGTGAGGAATATGCCCAATTTTTCATATTCCAGGATTATCTTTATTAGGTCATTAATATTCCAGTATTATCTTATTAGATCATTGTAAGAATGAATGCATATGTATATTTCTATATTTATTTGAAAATTATCAGTGATTTCTACTTCATTATTATGAGTAATAGTTTTAAATTAACCTAAATTTTTTCAGAATCTTAAATAATTGTCAGTAGTTTAGTTTTTCGGTCATGATTTTAAAGAATTTTGATTATATATTTACCTTCATCAGCTTTTAGTTGTTCAGAATTTTAAATTCTCGTGTCATTAAACCCTTCTCTAGGAAGTTACTGAAATGAACGGTTTTCCCTCTTAATTCTCCTTGCATTAGTTAATATGGTGCATGCTATTTCACATGGAGCCAGTTGTCTTATAAAAGTTGTTGAAGAGAATTTTTGCAACTTTAAAAATGAAATCAAGGGGCTGGAGTGATAGCACAGCGGGTAGAGCGTTTGCCTTGCACGCAGCCAACATGGCCGACCCTGGTTCGATTCCCAGCATCCCGTATGGTCCCCCGAGCACTGCCAGGAGTAATTCCTGAGTGCATGAGCGAGGAGTAACCCCTGAGCATCGCCGGGTGTGACCCAAAAAGCAAAAAAAAAAAAAAAAAAATCAATGAAATCAAGTTTAAAACTATTTCTTTTTTTTTTTAACCTTCAAAGATGCGTGTAAGTTAGCTCCTTTTGTCATGTGTCATAGCCTAAATAACAATATAAATTATAAGCATGTACCTCTGCTGTTATATATTTAAGACCAAAATAAACAGCTGAAGTGCACATTTGTTTTGAGCGTCTGGAAACAGTATCTCATTTATAAAGAAGATGGCTTGAAAAGGAATAAGCATAATTCACTTACCACTAAAAGTAGCTTAAGGTAGAGGACGTTTGCTTTAAAGAAACACAAAAGATATAGAACTGTTTAATGGATTTCTCTAGCATATACCAGAGCATTTCACATTGAATTTTAGGGGTTTTTTTGTTTTGTTTTGTTTTGTTTTGCTTTTTGGGTCATACCCGACAATGTACAGGAGTTACTCCTGGTTCATGCACTCAGGAATTACTCCCGGCGGTGCTTGGGGGACCATATGGGCTGCTGGGAATCGAACCTAGGTCAGATGTGTGTAAGGCAAATGCCCTACTCGCTGTGCTATTGCTCCAGCCCCTGCATTTTAGTTTTGAACACTTTCCCCCCTCCTTTTCGATTTGGAGAATCACAGATACTTCAAGGGCAAAGATCACTGAATTTCTCCTAGTTGTTTCTGAACGTAGAAACAATCCAGCTTCGAGTAATTTTTTCTTCCTTATTTGTTCATGTTGGAGCATGTTGTAATGTCACGCTAAAGGGATTGCATTTTCTGAGGGTCTCGGAGAGAACAGTAGTCTCTAAACCAGCTGGTATTCTGACTCGTCACGGATCATGCAACATGCTCGCTGCAGCTCGGCCGTAGCCTGGCGCTGCCGACACGCAGAGCGCCCGTCCCCCTGCCAGCTGGCCTGATCTCGGAAGAGCTGAGTTATACTGACGAGCGCTGAGTGCCCTGGTGTTTACCCATATGCCAACTTGCAGACAGATCACTGCATGAATTTAATAAGTCTTGACATTTCTGTGTGTTCGGTAAGCATCTTCACAAATCTTTCTCTCTCCGAAATCAGAAAGAGATTCCCTCAAACCCAGCGGCCACGGTGAAGTCAGGAGAGCGGCAGTGGTGCGACGTAGGGATTTTTAAGAACAATACAGCGTTGGTGAGCCAGTTCTACTTGCTGCCCAAAGGGAAACAAAGCATCTCAAAGGTAGCTATCGCTTTATGTTCTGCATGAGTTAGAAACCTCAGTAATAATTTGTTTTGTTTTGTTTGCAGCCCTGATTTAACTCAGTTGAATAATTGCAACAAGGATCTGTACAGTGTATCATTGAGAGTTCTGTATTTCTGACTGTGATTCTTTAAGGCTTCTTTTTTCTATCACATATCACAAGCAGGTTATTTTTCAAATCTGACACAATCTCTTGAGTTGGATTTTGAGTTGTCCGTAATATGGTCTGGCCACTTACAGATAAAGATTTGTAGAAAATACTTCTACAATTTTATTGTTTGGTCTCTTTAGCTACAAGAACTGTTTTCCTGACTTGGAACTTGGTATTTCAGATTTCACCTTGAAATTAATGTTAGAGCTGGGCTGTGGCTCAGGTGGCATCACGCATGCGTGGCTTGTGCAAGGCTTTCAGTTTGATCTTCAGTACCACAGGGACTGGCCTTGGGACCCCTGGGTGTGGCCCCCACAATAGGGACAAAAATTTCATTTCTATATTGATATACTGCACTGCACTGTACTGCACTGTCCTCCAATCGTTCATCGATTTGCTCGTGCGGGCCCAGTAATGTCTCCATCGTGAGACTTGTTGTTACAGTGTTTGGCATATCGAATACGTCACGGGGAGCTTGCCAGGCTTTGCCGTGTGGGCAAGATACTCTCGATAGCTTGCCGGTCTCTCCGAGAGGGGCGGAGGAATCGAACTCGGGTCGGCAGGGTCGGCCGCGTGTAAGGCAAACGCCCTACCCACTGTGCTATTGCCCCAGATAATCAATGTCGAATATATTTACACACACACACACACACACACACACACACATACACACACACACCATGGTGCTGGGGATTGAACAATAGCTACCAAAATTTAATTTTTCATATATATGATACGTATATGTATATATATATGCATGTGTGTGTGTGTGTGTGTGTGTGTGTGTGTGTGTGTGTATTTCACGGTACTGGGGATTAAACCTGGGCCTCCCATATGCTGTGCATGTTCTCCAACCCTTTGAGCTATTCTCCGCCCCCCAGTTTTCCCTTAATTTTAAAACCCTCATTGGTTAGTGACGAACTTTCCTCATAGAGTGCGTGTTTGGGCCTGGGGTCCATCCCCAGCAGCCCCACCTCAAATAAATAAGGACCTTAGACTTAAGAAAATGCAGTCCCTTAGATTTTGAGTAAGTAAGACGTTAGCCCTTTAAGAAATATAAATGTGGTGATCCAGAACATATTGGGTTTTTTTACTTTCTGAATCAGGGAATTGCAGAGAGGGAATTGCTTGGGAAAGAGTTACTCAGTTCAACGGGCCAGAGTGGCAGAGCATTTGCCTTGCATGTAGGCCACCAGGGTTTAATCCCCGGCATCCCATATGGTGCCTCGAGCATGTCAGGAGTAATTTCTGAGTGCAGAGTCAGGAGTAACCCCTGAGCATTGCCAGGTGTGATCCAAAAAGGAAAGAAAAGAAAAAAAAGTTACTTGGTTTGAATCTTCCAAATATTTCTACAAATAGAGAACAGAACATTATAGATTAATTTCTCTACTATTCTGGTGTCCCTTTTTTTTTTTTTTAATTTTCAAATTCTTGATAAAACAAATCTTGGCTGTAGTTTGTTAGTATATGTCTAATGAAATTGTGGGTTTCATTTTGCTTCTACATACAGAACTATCCACAGCTAAAGGCCTAGTTGCTGCCTGCTTTTCCCAAAAGAATATAAATTTAGGGGAACCAATAAACTTGGGTTTGTAGTTTCGTAGAATCAGCACTACCTGTTTTTTTTTTTTTTTGAGGGCCGCTTGGGCTACACCTGGCGGTGCTCAGGGCTTCCTCCATGCTCTGAAGAATCACTCATGGTGCTAGGAGAGCCATAGGTGATACCAGGGATTAAACCCTGGCTGGCTGCATCTAAGCGCTTTCCCCACGGTACTATTTCTCCAGTCCCTTGCACTTAACAATGTGACCTTGGGTCAAGGCGCTTGCTGACCTTTTTGTGGCTTGGTTTCTCATCAGTAATATGGGGGTGATGTCACTCCCTTAACCCTAGGGTGACCGGCCGGGGAGAAGGCTGAAGGGCCGGAGGGCAGGTTTGCACAGGGGAGGCCGGATGCCCTCGTGAGCCTGGTCCCCCAGTACTGCCGGGAGCGACTTTCAACATCTGACCAAAGAATTAAATAGGAGGATGATACATTGGTTCTGTCTCACAGGCAGTGTAACGAGAGCTAAAGAGATTCAGACAGTGGAAATGGAAAATTCTAACTAGTAGGATGGATCCTTCTACACAGCGTACAGTTCATGTAGCACTGTAGCACTGTCCTCCCGTTGTTCATCGATTTGCTCAAACGGGTATCAGTAATGTCTCCATTATGAGACTTGTTACTGTTTTTGTCATATCGAATACACCATGGGGAGCTGTGTGGCACAGTTCATGTATTAGCATATTTATTCAGTATCTGCTGTTAAGGTTTTTTTTTTTTCCTTTTGAGCCTTACCTGGTAGTACTTAGGGCTGTTTCCAGCATGGTGATGAGGATGGAGTAACTTCCTGGGGAGGGGTTTACTCCTGGTAGCGCTCAGGAATTGAGCCCAGAACTCCTGCACGTGCAAAAACATCCATTCCAGCCCCTGGATATTCTAAAATACGCTACCCTCTTAAAATATGCAACCCTCCCTGTTGAATCATTTGCTTTCTGGAACCTTTCTTGCTAATCTTCAAAGGAGGATGTTTCTGGCTAGACTATTTGACAGTAAATCTTCAGATTTCTGCTTTGTTAGATTTACAGGCAGAGGGAACAGCTGTCACCGTGTCTGCAGTATTTGTTAGTGTTCACACGCTGAATAAGCGCTGTCCTAATGAGTGATCGGCTGGAAAGGGCAGTTTTCCTCTGGATCAGAATCACTAAAGTGTGGGTTTAATTGATTTTCTACTGGAAGATTCTCCAGGTGTGCAAGAGGGAGATAAATGTGATCTGGAAGTTTTAATTCATAATTCACCCTCCCAGTGTTCTGTTAAATGAAAAAATAATCAAATAATGGGGGAAAAAGGGGGGAAGAAGCCCATGCCTTTCCTTTGACTTTGCATATATTACATTTTAGATGGGGAATGGAGACGTCCCTGACTACAGTTTACTCAAGAAGCAAGACCTGGTTCCAGGCACGGGCTACAAGTTCAGGGTGGCTGCCATCAATGGCTGTGGGATCGGCCCTTTCAGTAAGATCAGCGAGTTTAAGACCTGTATCCCGGGCTTCCCTGGAGCTCCGTCCGCAGTCAGAATTTCAAAGGTGAGCGGTCAAGTCCAGACCTGGGAATTTGAGGCCCCAGGATGTGTCCCCAGGGGTGGAGAGTATTTTTCTTGCATGTTTGAAGACCTGGGTTCCAACTCTACAAACATGGAACTTTGTGCATGAGGTTAAACCATTAGCTTAGAGGGTCTTGTTGTTGTGTGGTGGAATGAGAGTTTCCTTAAAGTGGGAGATTAACTTTAGTTCAAATGTTAAAAGAGAGAGAGAGAGAGAGAGAGAGACTTTTGTTGGAAGCATATCACTGGCTTGGGCTCAGAGAGAGGAGACAGGATGGGGCCTGGGGACGCTGGCACAAGTGTGAAGGGAGGTGGACACTCTGGTGCAGGGCGTGGGATTGGGACGTTTTGTACAGGAAACCCTCCTATTATCGTTTGTAAATCAATAATGGAAATACTGTAAATTAAAAGTTTTGTTGTTGTCAGTCCTGTTGTTTTTATGACTAAAATTTAGGCATGTATTGTAGCAGCCCAGTCACAGAAAGTTTGGGAAGTCCAGGAGATTGAATGTGCTGCCTTTTTTTTTTTTTATTATTCATTTTGAGGGCCACACCCAGCAGTGCTCAGGGCCTATCCTCAGCTTGGTACTTGGGGATCCATCACTCCTAGCAGTACTCAGGGACCATGCGGTGGATGCCAGGGTTATACCTGGTGCTCCTGCCTGCAGAGCAGGTGCCCCAACCCCGTAGACCAACCCTCTAACATTCGGAGGCTTCTTAAAACTAATTTTCCTGGGCACAGCAGGTAAGGCGCTTGCCTCCCACACAGTCAACCCGGGTGAGATGGCCAGCATCCCAGATGGTCCCCTGAGCACTGCCAGGAGTGATTCCTGAGTGCAGAGCCAGGAGGAACCCTGAGCACCCCTGAGTGTGACCCAAAAACAAAGTACGAAAAAAAAAATCAAAAAGAAAAGAAAAAAACCCAACTTTGCTCTTGTCCTGGAACTAAACAGTGTGTGCTGGGGAATAATAGTAGAACACTCAAACCGAATTCTATTTATCCGAGGGTCCTGCCATCCGAGAAAAGCCCTGCTTTCTGGTAAGTGGGAAAACAATCTCCTCTTGGGCTGTTATAGGCAGAAATGTTTTGTTTCTGTTGTAAGGCGCCACCCGTGGTCATGCTCAGGGATCAATCCACCATGCCCATCAGAGCTTGGGGCTCGTGTGGTGCTAGGGACCCAGACCACGCCTGCTGCATGCAGTGGACGTGCTGCAGCCCTTTGAGCCATCTTCTTGGCCTCTGCAGGCAGGAAGGTCAGTCGCTTCAGCTGTGGAACAGTAGGCCCGACTGGGAGGGTCACTTTGTGGTCAAGTGTGTGCCTTGCACACATGAGGTCTAGGTTCAGGCCCCAGCCCCCCACACACAAATTGTTGATCCAATTAAAATGGGTTTTTAGTGTTCGCTTCAGCAGGCATATACGCTAAAATAGGTTTTTAAAAATCAGCAATAAAGCAGGTTAGAGTGCTTGCCTTGGACATGGCAAACCCAGGTTGGATTCCCAACATCCCATATGGGGTGTGTGTGTGTTTGTGTGTGTGTGTGTGTGTCCAGCACTGCCAGGAGTAACCCCTGAGTATTGCTGGGTGTGCCCTCCTGCCTTGTGAATTAATAAAGGTAAAAACAAGAAAAGTTAGAACATTGAGTGCAGTTATTGCAGCTACTTTATCAAAAAGCAGCATTGTGTTTTCTAAAGACAGAATTCAGGGTACGTGAAATTAGAGAAAATTTGAAGACCTTTTTCTCCCCCACCTTCTCTTCAAGAATGTTGAAGGTATTCATCTCTCCTGGGAACCTCCAACTTCGCCTTCTGGAAACATCTTGGAATATTCAGCCTACTTGGCCATCCGCACAGCACAAATACAAGATAATCCAAGTCAGCTTGTGTTTATGAGGATTTACTGCGGCCTTAAGACAGCGTGTATAGTGACCGCAGGGCAGCTCGCAAACGCACACATCGACTATACATCCCGGCCTGCCATTGTGTTCAGGATATCTGCCAAGAATGAAAAGGGATACGGACCAGCAACGCAGGTTAGATGGCTTCAAGGTAACAATAAGAAAGCACCTTTAAATTGATTTTTTTTTTTTTTACTGACGCTATTGTGATGATGATTATTTATTAGTAACTGGTTATGAAGATTTGTCATTTTAAGAGTATTCTCTGTATTTCTAGCACTTATGAATTTGAGTTTGTAACTTGTTCTTAAAATGTATTTGCTCAATTTCTAGATCCAAATAAAAATAGAAAAGAAGCAAAGACTCTGAAAATCAGTATATGGATTCTTCCTTAGAGTTATAGAACTTTTACAAAAGAAATTAGTAAAATTAGGATAAAAGCTAGAAGGCTTTTTTTTTTTTTTTGGTAAAGTCCAGATAAACTTAGTAGTCCTCGAGTTACTGAGATGGTTCTAGTAACTGGCTGTTGCTCGCTGTGCTGTCTTCCCGAGTAAATGTTCACTGTAAATGCTCATCTGTAAGTGCTCCCTGGATTTTGTCCTGTGAGCCCCGACCCTTCTGCGCCTCTCTCTTCCTGTATATATTTCTGAGACTGAGTTCAGTCGTCAGTTCCTTTCCTGTTTTTCTACATGTAGCACAGAGCGAAGACGTTTTAAAAAGAAGCATGCAAGTTCACAGACTTTGCGTTTGCATTTTTATTCTTTTCCAGGAATCATATTTGGTAAAGTATGAAACCAATAATGGGCTTTTTTGATTCTTACCAGGCTGATGTATTGGAATCTATTTTTAGCCAAAGCACTTAACTTTATCCGGCCCCCATTGTCCTTGTACATAGACGAGGGAGTTAAAAGGATTTATCTCTGAAGTCTCTCTCGGCACTCAAATTTTGTATTTTCATCAGAAGCGAAGTGAATCCTTGAACATTTTAACACCTGCCCTCATGGCCCTGACTTCCTCTCGGTGAATTACAGTTTCGTAATTTAAAATTCAGAATTGAAACACAACGTCCTCTGACGGCAGAAGCTCCCGAGGAGGACACAAATTTTGAAATAGTGTTTTGAACATTTGTAAGATTTTTGTAAATGCTCTAAATGTTTTATTTTTGCATTGTTTTTACCTCAAAATTGTATAAACTTTTTTACAACCGAACTATAGCATTAGACAGTGTACTCAGGTTCATCACAACCTTACAGAGGCAGTTAGACATCCTGTACACTCTGCTACAGGCAGCTTGTTTTAAACCGATGGGGGAGTTCCTGGTTCCACTGCCTACTTCAATCCGGAGTAAATAGACAAGCAATAATCGCAGTAGCTGCAGGGCCACAAATCTGTCTTTTTGATACCGTGTGATCCGTTTGCCCGCTGAGGTTGACTGAGTCACTGTGTCCTCAAACTTCATGTACAAAACCCCTAGCAAAGATGAATTTAATTGTGCAGAATGGATATATATGTTCCAGTTACTAATTTAAAGTGTATAGAATATTTTAATATATAATTTTGTAAAGAACTGGGAATTTTATACTACAGTATTTGTAATTAATGTGTCTCACGAAGTTTCTCTTGAAGAAAATATGCAAACTGTCGGACACGGAACGAGTGGTTTCCAAACTCTAAAGGCGAAATAAATGCACTACTCTGGAGTTGTTAGAATCCCTTCTTTGTGGCTGTACGAATCCTTCCTCTTTCAGTGTACTTTGCAGACCATGTTTACAAGGAGCTTCCCTGGTTTGTTAGCCCGGCGCCCCCTTGGTGAGAGCTCTGTTCTGCGTGGGTTTAACTCCTGTGCTCTGCTTTTAGCATATGCTTGCTTTTTGCACTAGTAGAATTTTAACTTACCTCATTATTATTATGTTTATAATCATTTGTATAGCTTCCATAGTATGTCTGACATAGGCTGAACAAATACTTAACCAAAGTTAAAGTGAAAATAAATGGTAAGCAGTTTTGCACGTAGGAAAATGCTAGGGTTTGTTGTGTATTATTGTGTGCATTTAGTTATTAAAAGAAATAAGAACGATATGTTCTAGTTAAGTATGTGTTTTAAGACTGATCATTGTCATCGTCTAATCGCTTTCATTCGAGTAATCGGACTTCCCACTTCCTGCCGTCGGCATTACAGTTTGCATTTTGAAGCACCTCTCTTCATGACAAAGAGTCTGTTGACCTTCAGCAGGATCTTCGATACTGGTCTGTGTGCGTTTGCACCCGTCCGGTGCTAGGTTCCATTTACTCAAAGGCCTCTGCTATGCTGGACCCCCGGAAAGCAGTCACCGGTGACGCTGACATTCTGTAGAGAGAAAAGGTGGTTCATTTCTGTGTCAAGGGACTTGTTAAAATAGCAAAGCAACAGGTTTTACTTTGAGAATCAGCCCCGCTGCTGGTTTTGTTGTTTTGTTTTGTTTTGGGCGTCCGTCCCTTCAGCATAGCTCTGTTCAGTTCTCTGATAGAGATTGGCGATTGAAAGATGCCGTTGGAAAACAGCTGTGCGTGCTCGTGAATCAGATGGGCTAGAGTCAGTAGCAGGAGGAGGGCATTCAGCTTCTTAGGGTTTCACCTTTTCTTTAGCAAAGAACTCGTTCCTCAGTAGCGGCACGATAGCTTGTGGGCTCTTTCCGCAGGAATTCAGTGCCTTTCTTTAGGCCTGTCCGTGACGAGGCATCTCAGGTGGGCAGGTCACGGCTCCCTTACTGGGTCCTGCAACTTGGCTCCATTTATGGAACAAGAAGAGTTTCATGTTGCATGCTCTTAGGATTATGTTTTCTGAAATACCATGCTGGCTTTATTTTCGTTTAGTAACCTGCTTGGACAGTGTAACTAGAACTTGGGTGTCAGAAACCCGCTTTTACCAGCCCTGTTCAGCGACCTGAAGGCGTTCTAAATTCCTGTAGGAGTCCCCGCCCCAGAGCCAGATTCCATAAATGGACTCACCTGAAGAGAGGCAAAACTGTTGAGCCACTATTTCAAAGGCTTGTCGATTAGCGAAGCTGTGTTCTAGCTGGAGAAACGGCCTAGTGCAGTGGCGCACTTGTCCCACGGAAATCACTCGTACCAGTAGCCGTGAAGAGATGATAGTATTCCAGACCATAGCTTGGCTTCCCCCCGCCTTGAACCATCACGAACAGTTATTATTTTTCAGTAAGACTGATTTTATGTGTTCTGTACCAATGCTATGTAAAATAAAGCACCTTTCAACTGGGAGCTGTTATAGGTGTTATTTATTTCATGAAATTCACATGAAAGGACTCGTGATGGCAGAGTGAACCTGTGAACATGCTGACGTACCTGAGGCACTTGCAGAGTCCAGGCGGGTCTCAGCCAAAGGCGTCTCGCGCGGCTTGGAAGCCCGTGGCTGAGTCCGCCAGGCCCCTTGTTGAGGAAGCGGGGCACTGCCTGCTTGGGAGGAAAAAACAGAGGCTCCCAGAAGTGGGCTAAACGTGACACCTCTCTCTTGTCTTCTGTTTGTCCCGACTCTTCACTCTGCAGTGGCACCAGGCTTCTGCCCAGTTCAGGGAGACCCAGCTCTGGGCTCAGCCAGTCCCTTCCTTGGTCTTCTCTTTGCCCCCTGAAGCTTGTCAGTGTGTGTGAGACTGTGTCTCCGAGGTTCCTGTCTGCGCCGCCCCCCTTTTCCCAGTCCATCTCTTTCTGGATCGGGGTCCCAGGTCACCTGCTTGGACCCTTTGCAGAGCTCTTGCCCCTTCTTCCTGTGCCCCTGGGCCCTGAGCTGATTCTTCCGTCACAGCACCCTAAAAACTGTGCCCTTCTCTGTTCCCGCCTCCTTCCCTCTGCCGTGGTGGCACTTGGAGGTGGAGTCGGCCTCTCTTCCCGATGGCAGTGTAGCCAACCTCGGACCTGTGTGTCTCTCTCTACTCCCAACCCCCCTTTATTTAGTACACCAGGACCCAGTGGGAGGGACACTTTGGATGTGACGGGAACTTGAGCAGATTTCATATGCCTGCTGATGAAGTAGAGGTTCCAGCTAGGGCTCACCATATTCTGCCATGACTCAGGTTCCCCAGAGAAGTTCTGGGCTAATTGAAGGGCCAGTCCCCACACTGAGTGGGGCCGAAAGAGATTCCATATAGCTGCGATGGAATTCAGGAGGGGCTCTGCTCCAGAAAGATCATTGGGGGGGTCAGCAGGCACAGTTGGCTTCTGCTGCTTAACATGGGCTGGCCAGGAAACCTCAAGTTCGGCCCAGAGCAGGCCGGAAGCAAGGAGCCAGGGAGCTCGTTTAAGGCCAGGGAGCCAGCCTGGGAACTGCAGTGAGCTGTGTCCCATTCAGGACCGTCATCACCTCTAAGGCCACAGAACTTACTGCAGGAACAAGGGAAGGTCATACTTTCCGGGTTCCCCGGATTGTGTTCCCCATAGAGGGATGCGTACTGTAGTAGAGACTGCTCCTGGGAAAACCGAAACTCCTGAATTCTGGAAGAAAACCAATTCTGGAAACTGAAATGAAGAAAGAAAAGGCTGTAATCATTGAAATCTCCTGGTTCCAAGTGGAGTTTTCCTACTTCTTCTCGGTGGTGTCTTCTTCCTGGTTGTCTGAAGGACTCCGGTCCGGAAAAGGTTTACTTGTGGCGCTGTTCCTCTCAGTAGGGGTCTAGGGCCCGGCTGACATGCTTCTATTTATTTATGGGCTGATAGATTAAGTCAGCAAGGGTCTGAGCCCTTAGAGTCTCCGACTCAGTTGGTTACGGCCATACCCCAAATTCCAGTCCTTGGAACCTGGGTTCTGCTTGCTACCTTTGGCGTTGGAGGCAGAGAAGAGGAGGAGGTGCCAGCCAGAGCTGAGCTTGTCCAAGCAGTGGAATTCCTGCCTCCTGCTGGGACTTCCCAGAGGCATTGGGTCTGCGCAGCAGGCTCGGAGGTGTGAGAGTCCCCAGAGACCCCCTGAAGGTAGAAGTGCAGTTGGGAGGACATCACGGCACAGCCTAAGTTAAATCAAAGCTGTAACAGAGAAGGAAACGGCTCCCCATCTGTGCGGACCCCCCCCCCCCGCCCCGACAAAACCGCGGTCTCCTAGCCCCCAGAGACAAGCAGTTAAAGGAACGCGTCATTCCTCAGCCTGGGAGTCGAGGCACGCACAGGGAGATGGGTGTGTGTCTGAGCATGTACAAGTCAGAAAGAAAAGGTGGCAGGTGACATTGGGTTCCTGAGCATAGAGTCCCTCTGTCCATGTGGAACTCGTGGGCCAGCAAATATCTGGCCCTGACCAAGCCTTTGCTCCAGTCGGGATGATGGTGAAGAAGCCCGCTTAAGAACTCGAGGATGGTTGCCTTCTGGTCCGTGTCTTACTGA